CCAAGGATTTTATTTAACCGTGGTGGTGACCTCTCATGTTGGGGTTTGACAAAATCTGGTTGTCCTCAAAACAGTTTGGTTGTCCAAAAAATATCTCAATAAAAATATAATTTATAAGTAGGCTTTATTGTTCTGTATACAAAGTGTAATATATACAAATGTTCTCAGTCAGCAGGTTGACAGTTTTAGGAGGTGCCGTCTTTTCCCCCAAGTTTGGTGAGAGGTGGTTATGGAGGGACACAAAAAATAGCTCTCGACTTGATCTGGCCTTATTTAAATAAAAATGACTACATGCTGTGAAATTCTTAGAGGGGTGGGCTGTCTCGTTGTGTGTGTGTGTGTGTGTGGGGGGGGTGGGGGAGCTGTATAATGGTAGGGGAAACACTGGATAACGTTTCAGTCTGTAATGGCCTCGTCAGACTGTGTCTCATTGGAAAACAGATTCCTCTAATCGGACCAATAATCACATTAATTCCCTGAATAACACAAACTTCCTACACTTGCTGGTGATACTATGAAATAAACCTGGTGACGAAAAATAGCCAAGTTAAAATAATAGATGTGTTTATCTTAATTCTTTGGGTTTTTTTATTTTCAAAATAAAAGCCCTGCAGACAGGCTTGATTTTGTGCTGAGATTTTTTGTGTTTCATTATCTACCTTAATGAAGTTGCCCGCAGAGAAAAGCAGACATTTTCTCTTTAATGCTTTCTTTTCAGACTGTTTCACATAGCAGTTTTGCAAAATGTCAAGAGCTTTCAGACACAAAGCGAGCTTGCAGAAACAAACAAGACGTAGAGCAGAATTGAGCTGCGATATCGTTAGTTTATTGTTCAAACCTGCAAACAGGTGGTCTCACAGACCAGATGTCATCATCACCTGATTGACCCTCAAAGCTAGCTTGCTTTTTCACATGATGATGGTTTCGACTGTTACTACCTCGATTTGCAGATCGCAGGCAGTTAGGTGGAACCTAAATCCTGGTTCCTGCTCTCTCTTTGTCTCTGCAGCGCTCATCAACCTGCTGAAGTTCCTGCTGTCRAATGAAACCGCCCTGTTGGCCAAACACAACATCTTTCACCTGGCCTTRCTGGTGAGGACAACAGATAAACTCCAAATGATAACAGGACATTTATCAATAGAAACTAGTTTTAAAAAATAGGTATTGTATTGTGAAGAGTAAGACYGGCACAAGTTGATTAATGTAATCATGATTAAAAATCCTCTTTGTTCATTGCATTTTGCTGTTTAACACATCGGTCAGTTTATCATTAGGTTTGTGTTTTTCCAGATTGTAAACTTGTTCAACTTGTTTATAACCTACGGCGACACGTTCCTGCCCACATCCAGCAGCTACGATGAGCTGTATTATGAAATCGTTCGAATGCACCAGGTCTTTGACAACCTCTACTGTATGGGTAYGTTTGAAAACACGATTTTTTTGTGACAATTATTCTCCTGTCTGTTGAGGTAGCTCTTGTAAGAAACAGTTTACTTCAGACCAGAGAAAAGATTTTAAAATATAATACATTGTGGGTTTTTTTCTGTCATTGTCTCCAGTTCTGAGAGTTTCCACCAATGCAGGCCAGTGGAAGGAGGCAGCCAGCAAAGTTACACATGCCCTTGTCAATATTCGGTAAAGAGATTAATACAAAAATACTGTCTTTTTAAACAAAACGTTTCCTTATGTTGGGTTTTAATGTGATTTAAAGCAGGGGTAAGATGAGAAAATTACATCTTGGGTAGTAAATTTAACTTCTTTATTCCTAAAAGTTCCTTTTAATTTTAGTTTTTATTTTCATATTTGAAGAGAGCATCTTTTGAGGTCCCTGTTTTCATAGAAAACTCGCCGACTTTCCCGGTTTGAGCTGCTCTCTGTCCAAACAGGTCGTCTGAAGGAATTGATGGAAAGGCTGGAAGAAAGGAATAACGTTTGATAAATGAATAAATTAGGCTCAGTGAACCCAAACAGACGTTGAAATGAACTTAAATGGAGGAGATGATTCTATTTTCTGCCCACCACTTTACTCCTCTGAAGTCTGTTTCGTCCATGAAGACTTATAAACCGCAGAGAAATCTTTTTGTTTTCATCACAGTCTGTTTACAGTCTGATGCAAATCAAGCTAAAACTAAATAAGCTAATTTATCTGTCAGCTGAGCTTATTGCCTTAGCTTGTATTTGAGCTATGAAGCAGTTTCTTTAGGAGGAGGACTGGCACTGAATTTACATTTAATACTCTGTGCTGGAAGGAGGCACCAAAGATGGAGCTGAGGAGAAATCGGTTGTGGTGGTGAGTTTTCCAGAACTTATTGTTCAGCTGAACTCGGCAAACCTTTTCACACGCAAACCTAAATACGATGGGTTTGCATYTAGCTGGATTCTTGTTTTTAACACTATTGCTTACTTAGAATACAACAAACAAAAAAAACCTACAATATTAAAGTGCCTGTGACATGCATATACATGGAATATAAAAAGTCAAAGAAAATATTTATATTTAAAAACTTGGCTTAATACACATGATTTTACACGTTTTGTCACATAATTGGCACATTTTCTTTTGAACTTGGCTCAACTAAAGTGAAACAGGAAGTGACATCAAAGGGGAACTCTTTGAGAAAGAAAACTTCCTGTTTTTTTATTGAAACAATATTATCACTCTCATTTCTCTATGATAGTGATTAACACAATCTAAAGAAACATCAGATTCTTCTCTACAGTCTGTGTTGTTGGCCTTTAGCAACGCTCTGTTCACATTCAGACATTCACCTTTGACATCACTTCCTGTTACTTCACATGTAAGTATCTCAACAACTGTTCATCGCAGCAGCGTGAAATCTTTTTTACAAAATGTTATCAATGTTATATTTCAAAAAACATGCATTCATATTTATTAAAATTAATTGATGTCACAGGTACTTTAAAAAGAAAAGTAGGAGTTTATGTACATTACTGACATTTAAGAGGTTTGTATCAATCACTCAGCTACCAATAAATATTTAATAAAATATCCTTCTTTTTGTTTTTCAGGGCCATCGTCAACCATTTCAATCCCAAAATCGAGTCGTACGCTGCTGTTAACCACATCTCCCAGCTCTCAGAAGAACAGGTAAGCTCTCCTCACCTCTGCTTGTTCACTGAATAAACGTGGCGTGTGGGTATAAATGAACTGCAGCATTGACTTCAGGCTGTTTGGGTTGAGCTCCCACRAAAACCAACGTTGAGATTTCAAATGCAAATCTCATTAATGTTTTAGTAAAGCACATGAAACGCTGTTTGGGAGTGTTGGAGAAGAGGTTCCCTGCRTTTTATTCTGAAAGGCTACTAATCGCGGAGGAGTTACAGTCGTGTGACAATAATAAACGACTCAAACTCTAGTCAGGATTATTAAAGGTGTTTATCACAGACATCAGTGAGCGTAAAACTCATCCTCTATGCAGCTCAGGATGATTTATTTTAACTTTTATTTAAGTTGTTTGTTCCTGAGCTTTTGAAGCAAAGATAAAAGGCTAGCTGGACTTTTGTTGTATATATTTAAACCATTCTTATTCTGTTTTCTAGTAATGGTCACATTTCACACAATTCTGGTTTTTAAGCATGTAAAGCTGAGTTGTAAAGGAAAAAAAACAGCTTTTTATCTTTGGTAATATTGGAGTAGAGCAAATTGAAGGGATTTTTGAGCTGCAYTTAGYTTTTTTTATCATTAATGACCAACCTGTGAGGATGTGAGAGCAGCCTGAAGAACACTTTTCAAGCTGATAGTAATGGATTTAGTCATTATGCTCCTCAATTACCTGTTTGCTTTTATCTGTTAGATTTATTCACAACAAGTAGAAACAGCAGAAGTTGGCTTTAGTGTCAGTGAGTTCCTGGTGTTTACTTGGTGATCAATATCCACAGCTAAATAATGTTTTAAAAAAAGGGTAAACGACATAGTTTAAATTAGAAGTAGCTTTTTAACTAGTGTTGCAAAAATAATAATAAATGCAATATGTGAACTATGCTGGTCTGTTGTGGTGAAGAGGGAGCTGAGCTGCCAGACAATGCTCTCTGTTTTCCGGTCGGTCACCTTCACTTACRATCACAAATGCTCAGTCCTGAGCTGAGCTCTTCCTCAGCGATAAGTTGAGAAGTTCAGTTATCCAGGAGTACCTCAGAGTAGAGCCACTGCTCCTCCACATCGAGAGGAGCCAGTTGACCTTCGTCCTGGATGCCTCCTTGGGGAGGTTTTGGGGGCGTGTCAGACTGGGAGGACACCCAGGAGACACCATTAGCTCTTTTGGAAGACCATTACTGATGCGTGTTCTGACCACCTCAGTCCAGACACACGGAGGCGAGTGAGGTAGTGACAGAATGCTGACTCCTGAAAAAATGGGCCGGCGTGGTCTCGATTGACACCTAGGGTTGGGCAATATTGGCAAAAAACATCAATCATGATTAATTGTGGTATTTGGCCGATAACGATTAATTTGACGATTAATCCCCTGGAGTCCCTGGACACACTTATTTCGTAGTCACATGACCAATTAATGGGAAAGAATTGCTCTTTATAAAAAATTGTTCCAAACTGTGTGAAAATGACAGATTTCAGGCTATTGTGTTAATAGATAAATAAATCACAGAACTTTATTTTTAATGTTCGTCATATTTGAAGCAGAGAGGAGCACTGAGCAGACTGACCGGAGTAATCCCCAGTCAGTCTGCCTGGTGGTATTAATCGTATTAATCGTCAAGTGCCAAAAAGTAATCGATTGATGTTTTTCTGACGATTGATTGCACACGATACGATTACGCCCAACCCTATTGACACCGAGGACCACCCACCTGCGTGTTTCTCAAATCAAAACTTTGTGTGGTTTTCTTTTCAAGCCCATGTGCTCTGTACACGCACAGAGGTGGGAATAAATAAAAACTTCATCTGCTTCATGGCTACAACCGTAACAAGAGTCAGGTTATTTTGAAACTTAAAACCCTAAAAAGACAAACATGGACATGTTTTGATCTCTGCGATGTAATAAGAGCCATCCCGTGACTCCTGCTGCCAGCAGAGATTTTTTCCACGTCTCTTTTAATACCGCACTGATTAATGCTCTCTGAAAGCGCTTATGAGAGCATCACAACGCTCTGCATGATCCTCCATGAATAAAATAAAGCAATCAATTATTTAAAACCAATTAAGTATTTATTTTTTATCTCTCTGTTCAACACCAAGATGCAATAATCAATGGTGGTGTTAAAGACGACAGTACCAGTTATTGGCCACTGCTGGAGGAAAAGGAAAACTTGTCGCAGTTTTGTTGTTTTGGGAATTAGTTCTGTCTTTTAGCAAAATATCTTGTGAGTCACTTGACAGAACTTAACGAAACCTTCAGGAAACAATCACTGGATGAATCTATAACTAATGAGTGGCTGCAGCTCTCATCAGAAGATGATCCTAGTTTGAAAGAAAAGCATGAAAGTCATCGGGCGACATGCGTTCCAATCTATTTTCTGTCTTTTGTTTCTCGTTCAGGTTCTGGAGGTGGTGCGATCCAACTACGACACACTGACCCTCAAACTGCAGGATGGTCTGGACCAGTTTGAGAGATACTCAGAGCAGCCGAAAGAAGCTGCTTTCTTCAAGGAGCTGGTAGGAGGGGGGGGGGACAAATTACGTTTTAAATGAGTGAAATGTGATCAATGAAACAAATAACCTGAACTGTAAACATTCAGGCAGGACAGAATCTAAATCCAACTGTAGCTAAAAACTTAAATCTGTAAAACGCTAACCAACAGACTAAATTAGAAAAATGTAGATGAAAGCTAAGTTTTAGCTAAACTTAAGTTGAACATTAAAATTGCCAGAGTTAGTTACAAGCTGAAATGAGCAAAACCCTAGAAGCTAATCATAAACGTTATCTGGTAGCTTAAATTAGCACAACAGGTGAAAACTACAGTTAACAAAACAGTTTTAAAACTAAAATGACCTAAAACGTAGCCAAAATGTTAAATTAGCAAAACTGTAGCTTAAACTAAAATTGGCCAACATCTAGCTAAAAAGTTAAAATTGGTCATACTTTAAAAAAGCTAAAGTTAGCAAAGCCATGGCTAAAAGCTAAATCAATGAAAAAGGTAGCAACTAAAAGTAAAACAGCTAGAAGCTACGTTTAGCAAGACAATAGATAAAAGCTGAAATTAGCACAACTGTCCAAAAAAAATAAAAAACTACAACCATAGGATAAATTCAGCTAAACTCTTGCCAAAATGACCAAAACCATGGCTAAAAGCTAATTTGGTAAAAACAGTAGCTGATTGCTAAATAACAAGACATTAGCCATTAACTAAAAGGAACAAAATATGACATAAATAGAGCTGAAGTAAATTTCAGAGAAAAATGTTTTTGAAAAGATTGAAGAGTTGTATTTTTAACAGGTACAATTTTGTAAATATAGTAAAAAAAAAATCAAAAAGTATAAAAGTATCAAAATCTATTGAGCCAAATGCTTTGATATAAGATAAGAGCACAAAGTAAACAAAACAAATACAAACCGGAAAACAATAATGCTGAGTCAGCTTTAATGTTACATTGTGTAGAGTTTAATCTCAGCCCCTTGTGTGTTTTTTTGTGTTTATTTTGTGTGTAGGTGCGCTCCATCAGTCTGAACGTGAGGAAGAACGTGTCTCTGAACACGCTGAGTCAGGACGTGCTGCTGAAAGAGTTCTCCACTATCTCCTGAGACACACACACACACACACACACACACACACACACACACACACAC